ATTTCGAAAAATATGTGAGAAGATGCAGAATTTTCCGGTAAATCTTCTGGTGTTTTCAAAATTCTTATGAAATCTGTTTTTGGATCAAGACAAATATTTTTCTATTTTCAGTGTGTCGTAGTTAGGCTACTCAGCACTCTTCAATTATGAATAGTGCACAAACGACAAAACCGTTATCAGAGATTCAAATAGCAAGTTTTGTAGAGAATTCAATTCTCTATCGATTGAGCTTAGAACCAACTCTGTGGATTTTATCGGGGCCATCCGATACTTTTTGTTTATTATCAACTGTTGATGATTGTTCCTGTTCTTCTTCAAATTTAAAATTGTCACTATAATTTGCCAGGACACTTGCAAGTTTAGAATTTAATTGAATAGATTCACCAAACTATAGAGAGGGAAAGAAAGTAAAAGGAAATTTGAGTTTAGTGTTTTTTCTTCTTCTCTATGCTGTTTCTCAGGAATTGAGATCTTAGTATATGTACCTTAAATTCAATTGTTGCATCAAATGGAAGTGTTAATTCATAATTTGGTATTACTTTATTGTAAGTGACTTTAACTTGTGCATGTGCTTGTGGTAACGATACAGATGATGAAACTATTTTAAATCAATTAAAAAGTATCTCTTTTGAGAAACGCAATGTTTTGCCAAAATATTCGTTTCTCAAAAGAGATACTTTTTAATTGATTAAAACAGATACATTCTAAAATATAGTTCGAAATTGATCATATATGATAATAACCTTTTCTAGATAAAAGAAAAATCTTTTTAGAAAATGATTAGTAGTAACAATAGTCCAAATTCTATTCATGTTCCAGTGATTCAAAGTAGGGTGCTTCTTTTTCTTATACAGTTGAACTCTGTCTCTCTCTTTATCTAACATTTATCTATAGATGGTTGTATGAAATCAGAATTTGACACAAAATTACCATCAGTTTTAAATGGCATTATAAATCCAGCTGAATATCAACAATCAATAATAACAATAAATCGTTCATTTCAATCATCAATATCTTCACTACGTTTTTTAATTGCTTTTATTAGTTTTCTTCTGTTAATGGGAGTAACGTTATTTTTTGTGGGTGGCGTAACGCCAATAAGTGATGATAGTAGTAGTAGTAAGGATAATGGCATGAGTAAATTTCCATTAACTGTGGTATTGATTTTGGAGTATGCGGTTTTGGTATAGTTATTTTCTTGGTTGGATATATAACAATACAAATGTATAAAGTAAAACATCATAATTGTTGCCGCTGCCGAGAGCTCCGACAACTATCATTCAAATAATTTCTTGCTTTTGAGAGAGAGAGCACAAACAAGAAATACGTAAAATAGTTATTCTTTGCCAAGGAAAAAAAGCTCATCTCTTATTTCTGTTTCTTCACTCTACTTAATGATTGATATTGGACAATCTAGTGGTGGCGGCGCTGAGGACATCCAACAACAACCATCATCAATTGCTTTTATTAGTTTTCTTCTGTTAATGGGAGTAACGTTATTTTTTGTGGGTGGCGTAACGCCAATAAGTGATGATAGTAGTAGTAGTAAGGATAATGGCATGAGTAAATTTCCATTAACTGTGGTATTGATTTTGGAGTATGCGGTTTTGGTATAGTTATTTTCTTGGTTGGATATATAACAATACAAATGTATAAAGTAAAACATCATAATTGTTGCCGCTGCCGAGAGCTCCGACAACTATCATTCAAATAATTTCTTGCTTTTGAGAGAGAGAGCACAAACAAGAAATACGTAAAATAGTTATTCTTTGCCAAGGAAAAAAAGCTCATCTCTTATTTCTGTTTCTTCACTCTACTTAATGATTGATATTGGACAATCTAGTGGTGGCGGCGCTGAGGACATCCAACAACAACCATCATCACTCCATTATCAACGTTTAAATGATACTCATACTGGTACACCTCCATCATACGCCGTCGTCGCATTACCACCCCCATATCCCGGTATTTAACCTGGTAAATCGAAGAGCAACGGTCTGTTTATTATGTTTTATGCTAAACGTCCTCAGTACAAATAAAGATACATTCGCAAGAACGTATGATAAAATATCGGATGGCCAAGAATAAATGGCCCTCTCATATTTTGCTCATAATTTCTTTTCTGCTTAATCCTTAGATTTGATTGTTTTTCCAAAAGATGCACCATCAAATTCTCTACAGGACTTGATCAAACTTGTTTCTATAAAACGTTAAGGAGAAAAATGAAACGAAGAATATTCAACATGATGAAAAGGACTAACTTTTTAAGCTATTTTGTTTTACAAATTTTGGAATATTTTAAGGAAATCTAAAGACAATGAAACAAAAGTGAAGATATTTTTGAGTACTTTGAAGTGCACTCTTTCTCTTTATGCAGTTCACAGTTCGTTCAAATCTAAGTGAGCACTGAAAAATCTAATATTCCAAAATTCACCTCAAAGTGACCAAAATGTGACAGCTAAATCTGGCAGAGGTGTTATTTCTCATCAAAATAAAAAAAGCCTGAGGTGAACAAGGTGCTATTTTGGCCTCATTATGCAGCATTTTCTAGGAGCTCCGAATCTGCACAATCAAATAGCTGGATTTTGCAAAGCATCAAAGAGGGGAGAGTCGATGTAAGCCTTAGAGGTTGGTTTTGCATTGTGCACCTAATACTGATTGATAGAGCTTTTCAAGGACTACAAAATGAGTAAAGAGCAACTAAACTATCATCAATTGTCACAGTTCATACTTGACATAAAGTTGCTAATAATTGAAAAAAAGGAGCCTATCCAGCGCTAGTCAGATGTCCGAAAGTACATAATTACAACCATAATTGGATTACTCGGTGGTCTCACGAAAGTACTAACAATCGTAGTACCATGCGTAGTTCAGTTTATGAGAAGAACAAAGCAATCAACAACACAAAGTCAAGGTAAATTCATTAGACAGATAATCTGGAATTCAATATATTTTTTCATTTCAGTTTTACTTCAGTTTTGTATGCAAATATAGCAGAGTTGTACTAGTAGTAATGTTTTGTCTTAAACTCTTTAGGTAATATTCATGATCAAGTTAAACGATATATAAACGATATCAACATAATCAAATCACATCCTTCGGCACTGCATTCTTATGACATTCAAAATCAATTAATATCTAGTAGATTATTTGTAATTCTTCTATTAATATCATTAATTAGAGAGATTAACGGACTAAACTGAATCATGTATCTTTATCAAGATCCAACTCAATATGAAGATCTTCAAAAATTTGCAATTACTCTTTTATTCTCAATCGTCAATACAAGTCCAGAAGCCAGCTAAACGTTCGTTAATCATTCATAACATTTTATTTTTTCAATATTTAAGAATCTATACACATTTTTCAGCAGAATTTGTCTGAATTGATTACGTTTCTTTGAACGGTACTACTCCTATAATACACCCGTCTAACAATATTCCAGATAAATTTAAAGCATTTTGGAATGAGACTAAATTTTTGTAAGTAATATTCAAATAATTTGTATCATTCGTATCATCTTCTCGAGATATACTGTCAATTTGGCCTATATTTGAAAAATAGTTCTGTATCGATTCTACATCATTTTCACGAAAACCAAATATTGTCACCGTTGTTGTTGGCGTATTTAATTGACTACCATTAATATTATAATTATTGTTATTCGCTGTTGTTGCTGTTGTACAATCAAACGATCTTGTCTCATTGTTCATAATAGAGTCGAGTGCAGTCATTTTTGAATAATCGAAATCAGGAAATATATCAGACATATTTTTTAATGGTAAACATGTTTTAGAATCAGCAGTTTGTAATGAACGTGTTCGTGGATGATTTGGTGTTATGGACGATGTTGCTGATGGTATGTGAGGAGAAGCAAATAAACGATACTGTTGTTGTCTGTTTGATTTTGGACTTTTTACATTTGGTGACTGAATCATAGTTGTTGTTGATGATGGTGGTGAAAACGGTGTAGCTATATTTGTCGATCGTTGAAAAGGTGATTGACCACCATCGAGAAGAAAGCAAGGTAAACTTTCATGAGATGATATTTGACGTTTAAATTCGTGATGTTCAACAGACATTTTGAGATTCACAAGGAAAAAGTCTGAAACACAGAAAAGCACGATTTTTCTTTTTTGAAATGCATATCAAAAGATGACTTAGTGATATCTAAAAGTTGCTCAGTTTTACAATGGAATCTCATTAGACAGCATCGATTTTCTATTCCTTCAATCTAAGAAATAACAAAATTCGAATGACACGTTTGCCGAAAAGGTCTAAGATAAGCTGGGAGCAAATGCTAGGAGCAAACCTGCTCGTAGCTAATCCTCAATTCTGATTAGTCAACATTTTAAGAGCAAACTCGAAAAAATTTGTTTTTATTGAAAATAACAATATTTTAGTAGTGAATAATTTAAGAAAGGTATCTTAGTAGCACTGGCCGCTTAAATTTATTCCGAAGATTTTAACAAAATCTCAATAAAGACTTTAAAGTGAAATTTCATTGGCTGATATCGAATGTGAGTAAGCGAAAAGAGAGAACAGAAGTCAGGATACATATCTACATATAATTTAATAGAAACGTGTGTGAATGAAGATGCCTGTATCTTTGATGATTTCATTTTAAACGAAAGTAGAAATAGCTGATTTGTTTGCTAATAGCTGATGCACACACTTCTTATTTTCTAACCTAGTGTATGATCTTTGTAAGTATAACGCAAAGTTTTTTAAAAAAATAAACACAGTAGCTATGAATCAAGAGAGGATTTTCAGCCCGCTGAGAAAACCGAGTAAAACAAGGTCAAATCGAAGCTCCAACTATCTCAGTAAAGGTTATTTAGAAAGAGGTTTCAGGGTCTAGAAACTGGTGCTTTTTGGTTGTCACAGACTAAGACAGTTGAAAGAAATTAGACTTTTTCACGTTTCATCACAAAATTTTTGTGAAGATTTATGAGTAACAATGACAGATAACACTTCTGTTTCAGAAGTTTGCAGCATTGAGTAAGCTTTCAGTTATATAACCAACCTAACAAGTCATCAATAAAAGCAGTTTTTCAGAATAAATACGCTTTATGTAAAAATTGAATTTCTGTTGTATTTACTAACTAAAGTGCGTTTTATAAAATATTAACAACAAGGAGAGATTTTAAAATTGTCTGGCAAAACAAGAGAAGCGCTTATCCTGATCCCCCCAAAAAATATCTTGCCCTGTATTTCAGGGTATATCAGACGAACAAATGCAGTCACCTATTCTCATTAGATATGAACGTACTGAGATACGGCAACCTTTTCAACATTGACAATCATCGTTAATCTTTCTTTTTCTTTAATACAATATACCACACAAATAGATATAAACGAAAATCTCATTATTGTCAAACACAAATAAGAGAAAGTTTAACCACACACCAAAGAAAACAAACAAGGAAAAATTTACACATGATCCGTGAGAAAATTCAGGTAAACAACAATACGAGAAAAAGCAAACACATTAAAAGAGAACAACAAGGTTCGTAATATTACGAGATGCCAGTATAAATAAAAGACGAATGTTGTAAAAATTAGACATAGAGATAAATTGTAGAAAATATATTTGTTCGTTGATGTACTTAAACAAACATCCGACGACGTCGATTGCTTGCGGTCTAGAACACGTAAGAAAAATACAAAATTTAAAGAATCTTACTACGATAACAAACAGAAAGCAAAGTACGCTCTTTAATGCCAAGTTAGCCATGTTCGTGTCAATTACAGTGATTTTTGCGTGAGTTTATTCTGATTATTACAAAATACTTGAAAGAGCTAGGAACTATTATTATTCTGTGAACATGTCAAGCAGAATCCTTAGATTCACAAAACATGTAAAATCAATCTTATAGTTCACAACATAAAAAACACACTTCACAAAGACTCACTGCATTGACGCCTGCTGACTTTTGTCTCAACGATGTTCTAAAACGACAAACAAAAAATCAATAGCAGAATACAAATAAAAATAAATTAATGTTAAATCCAAATAAAAACGGAATAGTTCAATAGATCTAAATTATCAACTAAAGAAAAAGTGACTTACCTTTTCATAATTGCACCACCGTTGCGATTACGTGACATAATATTTGTCTAAACAAGATAAAAGAGATAACAATATGATTCAAAGCTGTGAAAAACATACTAATTTTTGTGGCTGTTGTAAAAAATTTTGTCGTTGTAGTCTTATTTTTGGCATTGATGCTAATGTTTTTTGTGCGCGATTCAATGCTTTTTGTGCCGCTATCATCCGTCGACGTAATGATCCAACATCTTGAGCTCCATTTTTATTTCCACCTTCAATGAAATTATAAATTATTTGTTAAAACTTAATGCGTCAAAATCTTCCTATATATAATAACCTTGATTATAGCTTGATAATGTATTACTGAAGCGTGACTGTTGTTGCTTCGGTGGTGAAGATATTGTATCACGTCGAAGAGGATTATACTGAATAAAGATAATAAGAGTCGCGAATCGTTTTTTTTGGAAATAATAACAAGAAATGTGATGATGATGGTTCTCTGTGCTTTTCTTGTTGGTAATTGCTGCCTCTTCAAAGTCATTTTTCTTAGTGGAAAATAGAACATTTCAACCCATTTATCGTGTTGTTGTGTGGTACCATCACTTTTAGATTCAGGTGCATATTTTGTTACATGTACATAAGCATTTAAGAGAACCAACAACAACCTCTTTTTGTGAAGCGTTCATTTCGTGTTTGTACTTTGAAGACTTATATATATATATGATGTCAGTAATAAAAGCATATACAATGTAAAACGAAGAGAATTCTTATTTGCTTTAAATCGACGAAATATTTAGGAAAATTCCAAACTTTGGTTTACCGTTGCTGATGGATTTGATCGATAACCACGTCTTGGTAGTCGTTGGTTATTGTTACTGCCACGATAAGCATTTGAATTTTGTTGATAACTAATAAAATATACAAAAAAAGTATTGTTAAGTGCTTACAAGTATTGATAGTTTAGTACTATTTTACACTCAACAGTATATGAACAGTGGTATGTAAAGCCTATTTATGACTGTCATCTCTGATTTATTAATGAAAAATACAGACACCAGGGACGACTGCTAAGTGGTGGATTAAAAAGTGATAGTGATCGAAGATCAAGCCTATCATTGATTGCAAAAGATTTTCCTTCACTCATATTTTCTGACGTTCCATTACATAACAGTTGTTCGTGAATAAACAGTCTTAGCCTTAGTCACAACAGTTTGTATTATTACATACTTTGAAGATCTGCTGGTGTTATTGAGGGCATATCCACTTCTTCCACGATTACTTCTTCCCCGATTTGCACCTCTGTTGTATGATTTTGTAATGCGTCCACGACCAGTAGTACCACGTCTATTTCCCTGAGTGCCACCACGTCGTTGGTTTTGAATCTGATTTCTCCCACCTCTTCCTCGACCACGATTATTATTTTGTCTTCGATTATCTTTTATTATATCGTCTAAACAAGAAATGATATGTAGATCTTCAAAAACCTTAAATATTTTTCCTGTTTTATTATTTACCTAAAGCCATATTGAGTTTTTGATCGTTTGAAGCCATTTTTCTGTTGATTATCGTTGATAGATTGTTTCAGATAATATGATATGTAATGTACAATATGATTGAACAAAGCTTGCAAGACAGATCCACAAGAGATATTAATTTGCTATTACTATGATGTTATTATGTTACGAATGAAAGTAAAATAAAGTAGAAAATGTGCTACACGTATATCTCAATTGTTTAAAGGTGAACAAAGCACAAATTAATCACTGAATGTGAAATAACTACAGAAATAGCTTTGAAGAAAACGAAGAAAGATGTAGATGTGAGTAATAAATGAATCGTCATCAACTTTCAGTTGCCCGAAGGTCTCTTCCATTGTCCTTTTAACTAATCAAATTGCTGGAAAAAAATCTTCTCTCTATTTAAAGCCAGAAATATAGTTGTTCTGAAAAGACAGTTTTCTGGCAGAGAGTTTCAGAACCAAACTAACGAGAACATAAAATTGTTATTTTCAGTAGATGGCGCTAGTTTTGTCAGATAGTCATGCCCAGGACATGCGTCTTCATGGTGCTTTGCAGAGTCATGCTCCAATTGCGAAAAATGAATCATCTACCACATTAGGTCTAGTGTAGCGTTACGTTACATCGATCAAGATAAAAAACAATGCTATAATAAGCATTTTTGCGCTTCGGATATGACGCAGCAAAATTTATTTGTATTTATATGTTAAGGAAATTAAGCGTTTTTGTAGCCTACTCTAAATCAAAACGGAACGTGATCGGATCTCAATTTCGAACAATGACAAGATACGTTGACAAACAAATCCTTAGCAAAGAACAATCAGAAGGTGTTGGCGCCCGTGTGAGACGAAGTATTGGCACCAACGCGGTATGTAATAGTTTTGTAAATGTAATAGTATTTGATTTGTAGAATTTTGTCACGTTGATCGTCACTATCCTGCAAAAAAAAACGTTTTATTGGCACTAGTCACGCATCGATGCCAAATATTTTTTTTCCTGGTACCGATGCTCGCTGTGTAAAATATATTTTATATCGGTACAGGCGCGCACCGATGCCAATTTTTTTCGGATCATCATGTTGTTTTATCAATGTTTGTGTATATAAACACTACAGATACTACCAATGTTTCAAATGTCTTTTTAACTTCATCTTTTCTTCAAAAAAAGTGCTGAGGTCAGTGCTGTACAGTTATGGCATGGCAATGTGGTACTGGTGGCTGTATCACAAAAAAACTTACGTGTGACTTAAGTCTCCGTCACTAGCTTACGTCTTTGGATTTAAATTTTACCGTATTACAAAAAAATTTAAGTCAAAGGGTGACTTAAGTCATGGGAAATGTAGTCTTAAAGATAAGACCGAAAACTTAAGTCAGACTTAAGTCATTGACGCATTTTTGGAATTGCTCAGGTATTTAACGATACGATTCGATGAAAACGACTTTCTAAAGTTTAGAAAATAAATATTTCGTTATTTTGCGGGTTTTTGTCCCAAGTTTCTCACCGTTGTCAACGACTTTTAAAAAGTAAACAAATCACCAACTTAAGTCTTTTCGTGATACGGTTCAAGTCCCCAGACTTAAGTCGGCCTTAAACTTAGACTAAAGTCCCGACTTAAGTTTTTTCGTGATACGACCCCCTGGTATCCATTGGTGCCGCACTCTAATTAATGCAAAATTAAGAAATAACCCTGCAAAAAACATTTCAGCGCGGCACCGATGGTAAACGCCACTGGTTCGGCACTTGCTAGGATGATGCACAACGGTGCTAGTGAATGACGCTATGCCATGCGTACCAGTACGCACTGGTTGTACGACACTGATTTTAAGCAGTGCCGCACTGAAGTTATTTTTGTAGCGTAGTCCATTTTCCTTGTCTTTGATTAATTCTTAATAACTACGATATGAGTCTTGCTATTGAATCGACTGAATGAACATTATAGTGTATGACAGGTTGATGAATGTTCAGAAAACAAGGCATAAAACAAATAGATTATCATGCAGTTATTTAACTATTATTCTTTAGGTCAAGCATATTGATCCATTTCTAATGCTGGATGAATTTTCTGTGAATGCGCCAGCTGGCTTTCCAGATCATCCACATCGTGGATTCGAGACAGTAACTTATATGCTGACAGGCAGTTTCCAACATGAAGATTTTTGTGGGCACAAAGGTGTTATCAATCCTGGAGATTTGCAATGGATGACTGCAGGCAGAGGAATATTACATGTAAGTTAATCACCTACTTAACGGCTTTTTATTCGTTTCGGAGTAAATACTATGACTATTTTGTGTACATTAATACATAATATTTTTGAATATTTTAGTGTGAAATGCCTCTCGAAAACTCGCCAATAACTGCTCATGGTCTTCAATTATGGGTTAATCTTGGGCGAGAGTTTAAAATGACTGAACCAAAATATCAAGAGTTATTAGATAGAGACATACCGCGTGCAACATCCGACGATGGTCTAGTCAACGTTAAAATTATTGCCGGTGAATCGATGGGAATTCAAAGTCCAGTGTACACAATAACTCCGACAATGTATTTAGATTTTACTGTGAAACCAACTGGTCAATTTACACAATCGATACCCAATAATTGGAATGCTTTTTGTTACATTCTTTCGGGCTCCGGTGAATTTGGTTCAAAAACTACAAAAGCAGATGCACATAATATACTGGTTTTATCTCTTGGAAATACGTTACAATTTAAAAACACCAGTCAAACAAGTGATTTACGCTTTGTTTTAATTGCGGGAAAACCGCTCAACGAGCCTATCGTACAATATGGACCGTTTGTAATGAACACGCAGAAAGGTATGATATTCTTGAAAAAAGGATGAAGAAGATTGTAAGAGGCTCTTTTTTTTATAGAAATTGAACAAGCCCTTCGTGATTTTCACGAAAACAGGAATGGATTCGAAAATGCTGCAAAATGGAGGAGTAAAGCAGCGTCTGCACATTAATTTGTCGCTTATAGTCTCTCTGTATAAGATGTGTCGATTCTTTTTTTTTGTTAATTATTTTTCTTATTCTCAAAATACACAGTTTGCGGATAAAGTTTATAATCCTGCTTTTCGTGGCAAAATACAACATTCATTTCATTTTAGAACGGTCATTTTTAATTTTTTTGCAGGTTAATTGCGCTTGTTTTTTTTGCCGAACGAATTTTTATTTGTTTTTTTCTTTCCATATCTTTAGAGAAGTACTGCTTTACATAATTCTTCGAAAAACAACCGCAGAAGGCGCTCTCTTATGAAAGTTCCATTCAAGTTGTTTATGTTGTGTTCCAGCAAGAGAGAACCGCTAAATTTTCGTTCTAAGTATTGATTTCTTCCTAGGATAGTAATTTTTCTAGCTAATCTTTCGTCCGATAATGATATGATCGAATGCGGTTTTCAATTATTTTCCACTACGCTCTTAAATATTTGTTAGGAGACTGTTAGGAAGTTGTGGTCAATCTGAATTACTTGGATAATAGTACCAGGATAAAAGGATAACGTGAAGACATCCACAGACTACTACGCTGATTGAACACAAACAACTACAACTGCTGTACAGACACTCACTTCTACATGAATGTCTGCGAGTGTATGCATCTTTACTATTACCCGGGAGTACCATATATGAAACGATCTTCAACTCAAATTACTATTTTAAGAAGAAATCAATGTTTGGTAGAAACTCTAATAACTAAAAAGTTTCAAAAAACGCTCGCCTTTTTCCGCAGAATTCTAACCTGACTGCATTAAAAATTGAATATTTTTAAAGCAAGGAAAAGGTTCGAAGAGCTGTACAAACTTCGATATCACATTTTAATATGAAAAAGCGAATAGGAATAATTGAAATACAAAGAGTTTTCACTAAATTTGCCTCCAAATTATTTGCACGACCTGTTATCTCACAGCAGTAACTAACATAAAAAATTTTCTTTCGAGTACATCAGTATTCAATTAAATTATTAAAATTATGGTGATTTGATTTAGTTTCAAGTCTCTTTCGAATGAAGTATTTGGAAAACTTTTACATGCTCTCTTGTCGAACACTTGCATTCCTGATGATCTGTGTGATAGTGACCAGTTTTTTTACAAGTATGCGTAATCACACTTAAGGATTCCCCCTCAGAAATCGATGATTTTCTTAAACAAAGATGGGCGAGTACGCGGCGTTCTGAGTACGAGTACTGAAGGCCGAGTATCAGTAGGAGTACGAGTATTTACTGTAAGGTACTCTAATATAAAAGTTTTTCAAAAGAAGCCGATGATTCCAAAAATTTTTTGATATAAAAAAAAGGTCACCAGTTTTTCGGGAGTACTTTTTGGAATACTTGTTAAAAGGGTTCCGAGTACGAGTATGAGTACTAGAAATTTTGTACTCGAGTACGGATACTCTCCCATCTCTGTTCTTAAAAAACCCGAAATGATTTTATTGCTTAGTTAGATACTCTGAAGTCTTCTCTTTCAGAATCTGTGTCTCTTTCGACCAAAAAGTTAGTTTTTAAGAGATTCATTTTGTCCCTTGTGACAAGGATAGCTCGATAGGGTCTTAACCTTTTGAACTCAAATTATTAGCATAGGCCGCTTAGCTTTTATTTTAGACAGTAAGTTTCGTTGAAATCGATTGTAGAATAAAAAAGTTTTTTCCTGATGGAGGCCCTTAATTCGTGATTTATTCTTTGCTGAAGCCGAGATTTTACTTTTAGTTGTAGTATACTGAGTCCGCTCTAAATGAAGGAGCGTCCTTTTATTCGGTCTTAATGAATTGTTTTTGTTTAAGTGACCTTTTGCTACGGGTGACGCTCTATTTTGTGGTAAGCGTCGTTTTACTGTATTTTGTCAAATGTTTTATAGCGGTATACCTTTCTAATATGGAGTGGCCGTTTAGTGGGGAGGTACTTCTGACTTGATGATTGTGCTGTGTGGTTATCGGCAGGAATCATTTCTGCAGAAAACACAGGTGTTGTGCCTATAGATGTGATTCCATAAAGGTTAGAGAACAGGATTTTTCATTCTGGTTAATATTCCAGTTTTTAAAAATCAAAAACAAAATGCTAGTTTTTGTTTAGTTAATATTTATGTATAGAAGAAAAAGGATGTCTTTTTAGAGCTGACATAGTACGCAGAAATTAAGGAGTCTTTGCGATAAGTCGGGTCAGAGTGCATAAAACCAAATTATTGATGCCATTCAAATTTTTACTTAGAAATGACTGTTCCCCAAAAAAAAAACAACTTTATAACATTTTCGAAGTAGCACCACATTTTGAAACAAAAAACACACATATACACATGAGGATAAAATACTAAAATAAGTGAATATTTATATTCTGTACAACGATGTTGAACCCAATAATAGGTTTAAAAATGATTGTAAGTACAATTTTGACCATAATGTGCCAATATATGTTCGTATGTGTGGTAAACGTATAACGATTCGTACAGACATTTGTGTTAATCCATTACTGAACATTTCTTCTTGACAATATTTTCGATCAACTTGATCGGCAACTAATCGGAGTGCTTGTGCAATTTGTTTACATGATAACGCAAATTCAGACGATGTGTTATTAAATTGTAATGTACGACGTACTGATGAACGACTACAGTCAGTAATTATATCAGGTAATACCAACGATGGAGAGGATATTAGCATTTGTTCCTGTTGTGTGTGTGGTATCCGGTATTGAAATGGTACATTGTTATTTGTTCGTGTAAACGATAAAGGTTCATATAATGATATCAGATATTTACAAGGTTGTCCGCAAACAGGAGAAGATTGTTGTCGTTGTTGTAATATTGGTGAAGATAAATTATTTGACCGTTCAATAATACGACGCCAATATCGACGTTTATTACGAGGTGTTCTTGGAGATCGGGTAGAATTTGCTGAGATTGAATAAGAGACATAAGCAGTACTAGCCATTATTAGAGAACAGAAGAACTAAAATAAAAGTAACTAGCATTAGCATTTCGGGTTAATTGATTATGAATTCCTATTATTGGAGTGTAGGATATGCTAAATTCTTTATCAAGTAATAAATCATTTGTTTACTTACTTACTTTCTATTTGTATCAAAATATATTTAGTTTCTAATATAACATATATATATATGTTTACGATAGATGGTGCGATATGTTTGTTTATACGATGTACAGTACACACTCTATACAGTTTTAATAGTACGTTGATGTAGAGGTTGCCTATCGTCAACGAATTTGAGCTTGTTAATATGGGAAAGAATAAAATAATAATAAAGTGACCACACCGATAAGAGTTGTCTTGACAGAATGACGGTCACATATTATATGTTTGTCTATTAATAATTGTCCGATGGCTCCACATTTCTTTTCTTCATTCTCTCTTTTTTTTCTTCTTATTGTATTTATTTTCTTTTTCGTGTATAATCACGTTCACCACTGGGAAGGCCATGATCGCCTATAGATTGAACATCATTGTCTTGCGGTCAATGCTTCTCTTTCCTTTCCTTTCCTTTCTTTTCTCTTTCTCATCGCTACCTTTCTCTTTTGCGATCAATGTATTTACAAGTTATAACTGGCTTAGTTCCAAGTTGACCGCTTGACACACGAACCATCTAGCGAGTGAACTTTTTTTGTTCATCTAGAGAGAGGCACAGTATGAAAAACATACAAAATACACTCTGTGGGGGAAAATGAAAAAAAAAAGAACTATAAATTTATTGGTTGTGATATTGCCAATTGAGAAATATAGTGACTCGACTTTAACTCTGAGCTTTTCAATAAATATGAAAATTTTTTATATTTGCAAACTGCTGAAAAACGAGAGCGATTAAAGAAAATCAATAAATGATACCCAAAGATGGTGTCTAACATGACTACCGAATATCAAAATATACCTAAAAAAATAATCTAAAATCAAAGTCTTCAAAATTTTTCATATTAAACATTGGTACTTAAACTGTCTAAAACTGACTTTGAATCGTTCTAACTAGACAGCTAAAACTGGTCTTTAATATAACATTTTACATAATAATTAGAAAGTAGGGATACTTTATATATCCCTAGGGACATGCTGATTATCGCACTGTAACATGAAGACTCGAAATTCCAAGACGATAATCGTTTACGGTATTTTTAATTTAATTCTATTAGAATTAGGCATAGGAGACAAATTGATTATACAATCGTGTTTCATTCTATCTCAATAAATTTCTATACATTTTCAAGTGTGTTCATATTCACATGTTAATATATGTGTACATACATAACATAACATTATACTTTTTCATTGATTTTTATCAACAATAGTATTGCTTATCATAAATGTGATGACTAAGTTGAATTGAGATACACTCTTAGTTCTATTCTATACATCGCACATTTTCAATAGGTGTATATACAACACAATTATATACTATTCATAACTTACATCATTACTATACGTTATTATAAGACTATTGTTTAAATGACCACTCGGTCAAACATTCAATGGTACAATTGATGTTTATGTAAACTTTTTGTGTAAAAAAAAAGAAATCTTGTAATTTTGGCGTCAGCATTCCACCATATCTTGATAAACCTTCACTTGCCTTCTATACACATCTTAGCTGATTCAACCTAAATTGGTTCATTTGAGCCTTCAGTCATATTTTTGAAGGTCGACTAAGATCTTTGATAATAACTATTTTTCGGGCAAGAATAATACAGCGGCGTCTACGCTGTGGTACGTTTGTGGCATAATGTCTCAAATAAAAAGAATCAGGTGATTGATATACATATTTGAAAATTTTTTTGCTACTATGCCAATTTGAGCTAGAGAGAGCTGAAGCAGGGCGACGAAATAATTTCGAAATTATGGGTGCTCAAGGACAAGAACGGAAAGGAAAAATGAGTTTCTGCTGGAAGAAAATGAAAATTTTCAAAATCTGTGAGTGCCAAAGCACCCACGGCCCCCATGGTTCTGCGCCTCTGAGCTGAAGTTTATGTTTGAAGAAGTGAACAAAATGACATGTAGGGTTTTTATACCTAAAACCTTGAAGTGGAGATAGACATCGTTGGAATAATAAAAAACCTATCAACAGTGAAATCTTGAAGAAAGAAATAATTAATGAATGATGCAGATTGGTGTATACTTGTCCGTAGTGATTCCTCAAAATTGGACATATTTGCATTTTGTAATTATTTATCTAGAAGTGTGTAAAAATATGCTATAGTTGGAAACAAACGTATCAGTCAATTTACTCATCAGCACTATATAAAAAGAGTCTACTTTGTACAGAAAGTAAAAGCATATGGTGAAAGAGAATAGATAGATGAAATTTTAATTATCATTTTGACAATCGAAAAATGGATAGATTATATATACTTACAGTTGTGTTTTGAGATAATGACAGATAAGAGAAACAAATAACTACTTTCTTCTGTATACATCTTTTATCATATCAAATGTTTAAAACGATTAGAAAAAGAACATTTAAGATTTATGACCAATTATGTTGTCTCCTCCCATTTTTGTCAATTGATTTTTTTTAAAACTGTGTAAAGAACTCTTAAGAATACTTATAGAGTAACTTTAAAAAGTAGAAATTTAAGAATGAACTATTTATATATTGTGTTGACTTAGTATGGAGAAAGTATATTCAATCGAATCAGCTCTCTATTTATTGACAATATTTTTACAGTACCGTAATTCTTTTTTATTATACTCTATTTTTGTTCGAAGATGAATTGATAAGAGATGGGTTTTTTATGTTTTTGTGATCTTTATTAGTTTTAGGCACGCTGTTTTTATCGATCCGGTAGTTAGGATTTTCTACATGTTCATAAATTACTATTACACATATTTTTTCATTCTACTGTTAAATGTTCCCAATAGCTTTCTGTAAAAATATTATTCATTGGTAATAGAAAAAAAAGAAGAAGAAAAAGTAACACTTCTCGACAAATATCAGATTACTATTTCACTAGAGACTTGTAATGTCCTACTGTGTTGTCGTTGAATATCAGAAGTACCGATCAAATGTTCAACGGTACATTTCTTTCTGTAATATAGACCATTTTACTATGTGTGTGTGTCTGTGTAAAGTGCTACTGTTAATTAATTAAGTATTAGCTGACTAAAACAATTAAGGTTAGAAAGTAATGACAAGATCAAAAGCTTTTTTATACATTAAATAAACAAAATGTGATCTCCTTAGTGAAACATTGTATCGATGTAACTTCGAACATGATGATTCTAAAAGAGAAGAGAATTTAAAGAAAATTGTCTAGAAAAGTAGACTACATCTTAAAATATTTTTGAATATGATGTTTGACAAAGATTACTTATAATACTTAAAAGTGTAGAGAATAACTTTTTTTCTATAGAAGATATTTTGTTTTTCCATCGCTCTCAACTTTTAACATACTGTAGTAATATAAGTTTTTTCATTGTTAATAGATTCAATGAAATGTTGGAAGTACACTTTTGACTTGTTGAGACTAGGGAGCAGTTTATTGTGATGTGTGTGTCTGCTATTTTTCATACTTGTTTTATTATTCGTACATATTGAATGTAAGTGTGTTGATCTTTATCAATATCTATGTATCCATAATTAACACAAGGATGATGTACAAAATTGCTATTCAATCATCTCAATCGTATAGAAAATAAAATAAAAGTTTTTTTTTTTTTCATTCTGATATAAATGTACATTTAATCCAGGTGCAAGAGGTTGACTATACATATATTGTAAATTAGTTTAAATAGTTACACGTGTGAGAATTGTTCATTTTTTTTCTTTATTGTTATTTTCATACACTCAGATAGAGACAATCAACTAAAAATCTAAATCAAATCAAGTTAATTGTTCATTCTAAAAGAAGATTTAAAAAAATATATATAATAACTACGAGTTTCTAAAGTAAATATGATTTTACTACCTATAGGAGTATACAAATTTAACATTTTATCTCTATTTATTTATATCTTTTAAAAACGGTATTCAAAATTATTTTACTACTATTGTTTATGTATGTGTGTGTGTGTGTGTGTGTATGTATGATGAGATCTGTAAATTTATTTCATGGATGTCATCGATCATCTTCATTAATATAAATATGTGTTGAAATTGAATTAATTATCAGTGTGTAGTTGGTTAGTCAAACAGAGAAGAGAATATATATATACCTATAGATGGGATGAGAAAAATATGCTTGTATATGTACAATAATTATGCATGATATACATGACAGTTTCATTCATCAATTATAAAAAAAAAAGAGAAAAGAGTACATGACATTCCACTTCAAATCAGAGAAGATGGTGCCATCAGGTATTTATTTCACAATATGAAATTCAATACGTTAATCAATGATGACAGTAAAACTGCAAAAAATCTAGAGACAAACTGAAATAATCATTTGAATCTATTGAAAGGCTCTATAAGTATTGGAACCGTTTAGTATTGTCTTTTAAAAAAAGATGACAATGATCGATGATCTTTAAAGGGCGAAGATCTTTTGTATGTTCTCCTTGATCAATGATTCATAATGATTCACACGATCATCCATTTGAATCTAATAATAATAATAATAATAATAATATCGTCAATATGTGTCCAATCACTAGTTTAATAATGACCGACTATCCACTTTAAAGTTTGATCATATATGTGACATGAAATAAAAACAAATCACGGATATAAAAAAAGATATTATATTTCTTTGAAAAAATACACACGTTCTATCGATATAAAAATGAAATTTTTAATTGAAAAGAAGATGAGACGGACAATTACTTCTGTTATCGATGTAATTAATAAAATATTTAATCTCATATAAAGTTCGATATAACTCGTAAGACTAATAGTCTAAAAGAACGAAATTTTTAAGTTCTGAGAATTATAGGAAAACTGTGATCTTTAGAAAATATATGAAGCTTATTCACTTATTTTGAACAGTAAC